TTGGAATATGTATAAATTTCCTCTAAATAATTTAATGATTTTTAATTATGTATAATTTCGTTCAAATTTTGTTCCTAACCGCAAATGTATACGGGTCATTTTCAAAAAATGTCCATTTTTTGAATGACATATTTTTGAAAAATGAAAGTGGTTTTACTATGATTTTTTCAACTTTATTTGAATAATATAGTAATAAACTCCCAAAATCCACTGCATTGCATAAAAGAAAATATTTCTTTTAAAAAAATATTGACATTTTATCTTAGTCATTTAAATTTTAATGTCCTTCCTGTTACTTTCATAAAAAGAGCTGTAAAACTCTATTTCAAAATTTTTATCAAATAATCTTTTGTATATCGTCAAAAAATGAAAAAAATATCATTGAATGCCAAGATGTTTGACATTCATCTGATATATGAGCGTGTAAAAGCATGTCAAACTACCATATACCAAACAGAAGCAAAATCTATGGGTTTTTCTTCATGAAAAGCCTTATTGCTGAATATTTATATGCTATAGTTGAAAGAAACATTCTTGTACATTATTTTTGTGATTAGAATAAACAGTTACAGAAAGTTATTTAAACAGGTGCTCTGCCAAAGCAATTTAAACTATGAAAATATACTGGTAACAGTAAGGACTCGGGTAACAGAAAGGACAAAACAGTAACAAGATGGACAAAACAGTGTAACAGGATGGACAATGAAATCTACATTTTAAATAAAAATTGACTTTTTTTAACTTTATTGGTTAGGAAAAGAGAAATAAATGTAGAATAAAAAAATGATTTTGTCAAATCTGGCAAATTCGAGACAATAAAAGACATTTATGTCCATCCTGTTACGAAATTTAATCGTAAAGTGCTATTAAAATATTTATCACTTCAATTTTTGTTTATTAAAGGTACTCTATGCTGTTGCAAAACTAAGAATTTTTCATAATTTTAAGAAAAACAAATGATAAAACTTAAATTGGTAAATAAATACCAGGATAATTTGTCCCTCCTGTTACAATTTCTGTCCATTCTGTTACCAGAGTGCATGTTTAAGTAGTAGTGGCACTATTTGAAGCACTAACATACTTCAATATGATTTACGAAGTTTTTTTAACATGTGTTATTAAACTTATATTACTTAGAAAAATAAAAGCAATTGTTTTTATTGTTAAAACTCGAGATATGAAGTCCAGTTTTCCTTACTGTTACCATATTAATGATAACAGAAATGACAGTAACAGAATGGACGTTTCTCATATAAATCACCCGTTATTTAGTATAACGTACTCTTTTTGCCTCGTCGAGACATTGAAACAATTTCTTTGTAGCTTAGTTAATCTAATTGTTTTAGTAGAATAAACAGTTTAAAGAGTACTTGCATATTAAGAAGGTAACAGATAGGACATATTTTCATTATACTCTACCAATAAGACAAACTTATCGACCTTTGAACCCTTTCTTTACTCACTTTCAAATCATGGCGCTCATAAACTTGAGACAACAGAAAATGATGATATATTGTGGATCATGAAAACAGTTCCTAGGAAAGTGAGATAACTTTTATTTTAACATTTTCTTTTTGGTAACAGGAATGACATAAACTGGAGGGACATGTCACTTCCTGAATGTTAAATGCACAATACTAGTATTTAGTGGGCGACATAAGTAAAACAATCATTTTAAATTAATCTGTAAATAAATTCAATGAATATGAGGTGCAAAATTTGTACATATCTTCACATGGTAATATTTTTCCTATCATTTAAATAAGCACGTTATAAAATTTTTGTTAATGTGACATGGTTTTACTGTTAAATTTTACTCGGAATGCATAGAATATTTTTTATAAAACACCTCGGAGATGATCATAAAATAACTTATAAGCTGTATGACCACGTATATTAACCAATGGGAAAAAAACTTCCACTCTAAAAAAATGTTTTTCCTATTTTTCTGATCAAAAGACAAAAAAGTGGACTTTTTTTGAAAATGACCCATACCTCCATACATGTACCTGTTAATGCTAGCTTAGGTCTTTCAACTCTCTTCAATATGCTAACCACATATTATCTATCTCAGCTTTGTGACAAGATTCTAAAATTTCAATACCAGACAATTTTTATTTAAAATCTTTTTATTGAAACTTTCAGAATAATTACAAGTAAAGGAGAGAGATCTTGCGTCTGAAAGATTGTACTAAACAGAATCAGAAACAATAAATCTATAAAAGTTTACAATTTTTACAAAATCAGTGTAAAAGTTTTTTAGCGAGAGAGAGAAGGGAGAAAGAGAAATTGAGCTTTTTTTGCATATTGTATCCTAAAACATTTTCCAATGGTAATAATATTATTTTTCCGCTGGGCCAAATGAAATACTGTAAAATTACATCCTTCGTGGGTCAAATTAGACATAGATTTTTAAGGTATTAACCAATGTTTGAGGATTTTATTTTGTTTTTTTATGAAGTTCTGTATATGAAATTTTACATTTTTATGGTGTTAATGGCGTACCATAAATTGTGTGGGGCAAGAATGGTTCGAAAAAGTTTGCAAAATTTTAATGAAAATGGATGTAACTAACTATCATCAAGCTCGAAAGTCCATAAAACAAAACAAATATCAGAGGTGTGATCAGGTGTCACTAAAGTGAGCATCCCTTAGCCCATGGTCAACCCACCGTGTGCTCCTAGTCATAAACGGGAAATAAAGGAAAATTCGGCTCTCCCAAATTGTAGAATTGGCTCAAAACTGATTTATTTTACATTATGTTAGATATATCAATCAACTGTAAAACCTGTAGTAAAAAAAGCATCATTTTGAAAAATATTCTGTTAAGAAATGATTATTTATGCATAAGACTTTATCTTCTCTTTTAATGTACACTTTGTTTTTTGGTTGGTAAATAATTTTAAAGAATCTCATAGGGTTTTTACTGCGAATTAATATAATATACGGCATTATATTGCTTCAATAAAAGGACTTCATTTTGGTGTTTCAATTCAAATGAAATATTCAACCACGAGTTAAAATCTGCTTTTTTTTATTACTGATATAATTCCATAATTATTATAGCAGAGAGAGACTTTTAGCAGAGAGACTTGAGACTTTGAGAGCGATTATTTTTGTTAACATGAGCCACTTGTGTGAAAATTTTAAAAACAGTCAATTAATCATCTTTGAAGAATAACAAAGCCAAATTGATCATAATTTTATATGGAATCATTTTTTATTCAAATTTGTTCAATCATGACCCCCTGGGTAGGGCGAAAAATCGTACTGCCAAGTTTTACAGGAAATCAAATATATAGGAAAATTTTTAAAAATTCAAATTTACAGAATAACAAAGACGGAATTGATCATATTTATATGAAAGCATTTACATGTATCGATTTAAGCTTGTCTCAACCAGTAGAGCTAAAAATGGCCGACCAAAATTTCCAAGAAATATCTCTAGGAAAATTCTTTAATTGCAATCGAAGTTCCAGTTTGTGGGGATACATATTATAAACCAGCATCATCAGTCATTTTTGTGACTAAATACTTCTTGAGTTTTGACCAAATCAACAAACCAGTTCTAGCTCATGTAGTTCGTATGATGTATCAATTAAAGTAAGCATACTTATCCATGACTCAAAACACACTAAAAATTTTTTTTATAAATTGAAATCAATTTACTCTCTCATTTTTGTATTTACATGATTGTATTGCCTCAAGTTTGTGAAAATATAGTTTAAAAGTCTTGTCCTGGAGAAAGAGCTTTTAAAATGTTGCTAGACTGTGTTAAACCTGATTTAAGATGTGGAATTTTTTGGTATATTTCAATAACTTGTTATTCTTTCGAGCTCTTTTTCAGTTATTATACGCAAGCGGTATTGACATTTGCGGATAAAAGTCATCCAGACATAACGGTGGTTGTTAATCAAAACGATGCCAGACGTATACACGAAGGAGGTGAATTGATTAAAATTATACATTATGCATTATGCATGCATTGTATATTTTATCTATTTGATAATAGTTAGCTGTTTCAATATATATATATATATTCATTACATATATAGCTGCAGAACTGTAGCTCTCCAAAAAAATATTTTGACAGAAGGGAGAGCTACAGTGCCACCCATTGAAAAAACTGTACATTTATTGCGCACAAAAAAGTGCGCTGTTACATAGATTTATTAGGAAAACGTTTTTAAACTGTCATCTCAAAATATTACTACCCGTATGTTGTAATATATTCTTTCTGACTGTTTCCACAACAAAAGATTCCTTACAATTGTTGTTAATAGCCCTTCTGGCTTTGAAATTGAAATCATCTAAAATTTTGCCTATTTATGATGCCATTTTGGTGTACAAGATAATTTTTCCAACGCACTTCATGCAAATGTCAAATATAAGCGAACTTCATACAGGAGGAAGGAATTTTTATAAAGCTATTTTTTTTCATGTTTGAGGTAAAAATTAGAAAGAATTAATCCAGAACTAAGCACAACTTTTTGTGCGCAATAAATGTACAGTTTTAACAATGAGTTGCACTGTACAGCTCTCCAGTCTGTCAAAATATTTTGTCAAAGAGAGCTACAGTTCTGCAAAGCTATTACATATATTAATTTAGATACAGAATTTATTGAAAATATCAAAAGGCAATGGAGAGAAGCAACTCAAGGAAATCCAAATGAGAAGGGTGATGGTATGAATATTTAAAATGAATAAAATGCAGTACTAGTTTTCAAATTTTATCACCAAGTCAAACTGGATATAAAATGTATTGAAAATTATAGCACATAATGTATTTTTAAGTCTTAATTGATCCCAGACAACTTATTACTATCATGCATCAGACAGTATAAGCTGCTAAGAAACCATAATGTATTGATGCAAAAATTTCTTTTTGGTCACTTAAATTGACCGAAAAACAAATTTTTTTCTGCCTAACAGAAAACACTTTGAGGAAGTGATAATTTGAATTTGACAATAAGTGTAGATAAATCTTGTATAAAGTAACCATGATTTGTGTTCATCCATACTTCATACTTTTCCAGCCACAAGTTCTGAAGAAACAACTGTAAATCATGAAGAACCAGGTTTTTCATTTTATATTTCAGCATGAAATAAAAGCAATTTTTTTTTATTTAAAAGGAAAATTATGCATGTACATTTATAAACTTGTAAGTTTCCAAATAAAAATTTACTGTTTTTGACTTTTCTTACTTATCTTTCTTACAGATATACAGTGACACAATGGAATCCTCATGTAAGCTTCGAAGAGGAGTCTTCATCTGACAAACAAGGTTCTGTTAGTTTTCATGCTAGAATATTACATCAAATATGTTGATTGATTTATTCGTTTATTTTCAATTATTAATTTTTTTTGAAATGAAAATAAATTTAAAATTTTGCAAGCAATTGCATTGAAAACATTATTATTAAATGTGACATAAAATGTAAGGTTAGAAGCTAAAACCAGGTTTTACTGTATGTCCATAAGGTAAGTTCATAGTATTTATAGCTTTGGGTTGTGGGTCAACCAGAGAAGATATCTCTGTTCTGCGCTTTGTGTTATATATAAGGCCAAGCTTAAAAAATTCTTTGTTTGCAGTTGCCGACCTATAATTTTTAGACTGGGTAGGTAGGTAGGCATTCTTTTTTTTTTTTTTTGAAAAAAAAAAATGTTTTCAAATTTTTGAAACATAACATAAAGTAAAGTTTTTCATAGGCCTACTATACATAAATAAGCTTCACTCTTGGTATAAACTACAATACATTGATAAAGACAAAAATTCACAATGAAACACTTTCAATATCCTGAAAAAATTTAGAAAAGAAAAATTTACAAAATGGCTAAAAAAAGTTTGGGTTGGGTGCATTTTCAGTGGGTCGGTAGACAACTGCAAACAAATATTTTATTTTAGGTCTAAGTATAGGTGTTTTAACTTCTGCATGTATAATCCTATTTTCAACCCTTTATCCTTGTACGTGTTTACATCCACAGTGTGTCAGTTACAAACCTCTGTATAATTTTACCCATAACTGTCTTATTTATAGGGACTTGTGGGTTCGAATCCCACCACTACTTACTTAGCTAGCAAAGTAGTGCAATATACTATGGTTGGTCACTATAAAACTACTAATCACTTTACATCTCTAAATTTGTTAATATATGTACCTTTATGTAATCTATGGAAACATAAAAAAATGAATATAGAATATTGATTCAATTTGTCTTTTATGTCATTAACTAATATACATTTCCTGAAAAATTGTATATCTTTGTGTCATTACACTTTTCAGATGCTGTAAAATGGAATACTGAATCCGTTAAACTCTTGATATCTTTGAAGAAAGAAAATACAGAAATGTTTTCATCAAATATCATCACACAAAAACAAGGTTGGAAGAAAATTTCGGAAATGATGTGCTTGAAAGGCCATCATTGTACAGGGGAGGAATGTGACAAAAAATTCCGGTCACTTAAAATGAGGCAAGTTATTGTAAACCCCTGTCATGATATAGTTGGTTCATTTTCCGATTTTCATCCATTATTTTGTCACAAGATGGTTCAGCCATACATGTAATAAAAATATCTAAATCATTGAGACTTTCTCAAGAACCATTTTTACAAAAGTTATTGCCCTTGGAAAATTTTTAATTCTCGGTTATAATTATTTTCAAGTGCACTTGTTACTGATAAGCTGGATTGACAACTAATTCATAAAAAAACATCCTTGGACTTTCAAATTATTTTAAAGTTAAAATGCTAGCTTGGGCTTTAATGTCAGACTTATAAATCTAAATGTAAAATTACCAAGGTAATTTTAATAGAAAAATTTTTTTTATCTTTGTACACCCACCTGTGTACAAATTACAAACCAAAAAACCACACAATTTTTATTGCCCTATAAATTATGTCATTCAAAGGATTTGATTTAATGATTTTTTTTTTGTAGAAGGTTATATAGTAAACGTTTGTCAATTTTTCCACCATGGTGTTTCTTCAAAATATCTCCTGGTCCTAGGTATTAAGCAGATAAACCAAGAATATAGTTATTATGAAAAAAAATTGCCTTCTCCATAATTCAGATTCTGAAAATGTTGGCCCTTGGTCAGGGGATCTGGTGTTAAGGCAGGGCTCTGTTTATCATTTAATTCTTTGAATTCTTTAAAAATCTTTGCTTCCTTGTATATAAAGCAGATATAAATTATTGAGAAACTTTAAACCTTTGCATTAAGCTGCCATTAAGGGACCTCAGTGTTTCACAAATACATACATGTATTGTTGTTTCTATATTGGTCAGATACAAATTAATCAAAGAAAGACACAAGAGAACTGGAAGTGGGCGACAATCTTGGCAGTTCTTCCCCCTTATGGATGACCTACTACAAGGCGACCCTGCTGTGATTCCAACAACAGTAGCCTCATCAGTACAAATACAAAATTCCAAGGCAGCAAACACCAACGCCCCTTCTTCTTCTTCCATTCCTTCCTCTTCTTCTTTTCCCAACTCTAATCCTCCCACCAAAAAAAGAAAATTGATAAGGAATCAGCATGGGTTACCGAGTACCGGGAACAGTTAAAAACTATGCATGAGGAGAGAATGGAGTTGGAAAAAGAAAAATTGAAATTGGAAGAAAGGCGGGTGGCAGCGTTAGAAAAGCTTATTAATAAAGAATAAAGCAGTCAATTTAGTATTAGTCTCAAAATGGTTGAGGTCTACTGTCCCTTTGTTCTTAAGTTAATCCAAAAATTAAAAAAAATTTACTAAATATTGATTTTATCATTCAAGGTCAATCTTGAATATATAGTACAAGGTTATAACTTGAAAAATTTTTGACATATGGATTTCAAACTTGGAACAAGTAAAGACAACATTCTAAGACTAAATGCACTACATCAGAATATTTGACCTTGACTGCTTTTTTTCATTCTGGATCAAATTAAGAAAAAGATGACCAGACCTTGATTTAAGATCCTTTTCACATGAAGACTTGAAATTTTTATATATTTTTAGGAATCTGATGTGCAATACACTGCATTATTATTCTTTACCCTAGTCACATTACTGCACTTGTTTATGATGGTAAAGGAGGCAAGACATGTTTTTTATTACCCACTTAATCTTCCTCAGAAGTGAATTAATATACCTTTCTTATCAGAGGGACATTAGACCTTAACAAATACTATAGACATGCAGTTTTGCTATACATGTATCACCTGAGCCAAATATCTGTACTAGATTATTTTTATCATCATATGATGAATTTTGAATTCATGCATTTGTTTAATGTTTAAGTATTTAATATTTATACCACCTCTACAGTTCATTCAAATATTCAAACCATGCTTTGTTGAAATGTTTATGTCATTGGGAATGATTTTTATTATTAAAAAAATGCTCATCTGATTTTAAAAGGATAGAAATTTATATCTTTAAATTGTTTATTCAAATTTGATAAATACACATAGTAACTAATTAAATATTTATTCACAAATCCACTCTGTGAAAATTGTAAACATTTGCAACTTAATATCAATTCTCTGGAATTATCAAAATTGGTTGGCCACGCATAGAAAAACATTTTGATTTTTTTATAATAATTTTAAACAGCTATGTCATTAATTGTAAAATCTAAAGTGGGTTTATGAAATAGACCCTTGGTTGCCATAGAAACGGGGTGCAAAATTCTCATTTTCATTAATTTTGAAAAACGTGAACTTATCAAGAAAAACTGTGTCCAGAAATGAAAAGGGATAACTTAATATGTTTTCATTATTTAAATTTAATAGTACAGATTAAAGTAATTATATCTGTAGTTTTAATTTAATCTCTCAATAGTAAATGGCCAATTTACATATTATAACATATCAGATATGTGATTGGTTTAGTGGAGTTTTTGGAGGCTTAAAACAAAAAAGGCACACTGATTACAAATTTAGTAATAATTAATTATGAAAGGCTGATATTTGATTATATCAAAATATGTAAAATATTGGTGGGACACTCAAAGATGTAAAAGGAATTCAAAGGTAAAAATTACTTTTTTCTACATTTTGAAGCATTTTTTGCTTCCTAATTACTTCCCTTGAACTACTCTCTAACGTTTGGAGGTACAATGTGTATTTAGTAAACAGCAATGAATATTTTCTGGCGAAAGATCTCATCAAAGTTTTACAGTCTGGAAGAAGAAAAGAAGGCTAGACATCTTAAACAATGAAGACAGAAGGTAAATATATGTATATACTGAACATTACAAAAATATCAAGATTAACAAATGCATATTTTCTTAATTTTATTTGCCTTACAATACCCAGTTGTTTTACCGGTGTAGTGGTCAGTGGTCCTTATCAAATCAAGCGAACTATACCTTTTGACAGTTTGACTTTCTGACCAATGAATTAATTATTTTTATTAATAAAAATGAATTTGAAGCATATAAACATCACTTGCTGATACAGCTGACCCCCCCCCCTCCCCCGAAATATAAATCTCTATATATAGATTGTACATGTGTAAAATCTGTGCCATTCAGTAGGTTTACTTTTTATGATGTGCTGAGAGAGACTTTTAAGTAAACATTATTTATCTTTATAAAATAAATTTCCACTTCTGTCAGTTTTAATTCATTGTTTATCCTATTATTTCAATTCTTTATTGGCATTAGGCACATATTTTACAGAATTGTGTTGTTAAAATATTAACTAGAGCAAGTTTAATTTGTTTCTATAAAAAAGTGCATCAAACGTTTATAATGTGTGAGCACAAGCATAAAGTAGATAAGTTTTTTAAATAGTATTCTATATATATCAGCAAAATATGGTCATGTGATGTTCATAAGCAGAAAATAGGAAAACAGCATGTTTGTTTTGATGTCATTGCCTTATTTAAAAGCTTCTATCTTTTAAACTTTAAATTTATTATATATATCCAAAACTACTGTTCTATATGTAATGACAAAATAGATCTAGGTTAAGAATGCACTGGAAATATTGAGTTATTTTTGTTTATATAGACTCTTTCATTCATCTGTGAAGTAGCGGTACTGTATAATCTATAGTTCAATTTTGTGTGAATAATAATTATCTTTTCAAATAGCAAACAGTAAAAATATATATATGTACACTTGTACATATGTATAAGTGTTAAAACAAAATTTAACTAAAGGTCCGGTGAGCATTGAGCTCACTAAATGATACCACCTGCCTCCCATCTGGTTATAACTGATGACAAATCCATGTTTTACTGTGGCCGGGAAACCCAAAATATGCGTTGAATCAAAAACTAAAATAGGAGGTGCACAATGACAATATGTAATAAAGATTCTGTGAAAGGTTCATTAAATTTCACTCATTGCAGTGGTATAAGAGGAGTTGTGGATAATAAGAGATGGGTACCCTAAAGCGTAACAGACAGACGGATGTATAGACAGATGGACGTACAGTTAGACGGACATACCGATTACAGTATACCCTACCACTTTTCAAGCGGAGGGTATAATAAAACTATATACATGTACATGTAGAATATTCACCTCTGATTTATAATGATATTTGTTTTGTACACACTGACCATGTTTTATAATATTCTAAACAAATTAATTGATACTCAGGCAAATATTCACTACTGGTAAGATGATCACACACATGAACATGTCTGTGTATGAATGAAATGAATTTTCCTTTTGATCATGTTCCTAGGAAAATAATTATTTTCATCATTTTTTCATCAAAGGATTTACCATATAAGATGAATAAAGAAAAAGTAAGACCAGTAAACCAAAACAGGACCAAATAGGCCATGACTGAAGTTCAAGTGCATTCTGCAAGAAAGCGGACAGCCTAGATTCTGTTCTTTTCAAGGTAACCATTCTTAAAATATGAAAGTAAATTAAGGGCAGATGATACAAACAAAAAATGGATGCCTGGATTGGTATATATTTTTTGGCATAATTTAATTGCAAATTAATGATGTATTAATAAATTTCTAGAATATTAAGAAATTGTAAACCTTCTGTGATGTTCAAAAGTCTGCCCTCTTGAAACTATCCTTATTAATCTATACAAATATTTTTCACTTCAAATTCCATTTTTATGCAAATATGAATTAAAAAGTACTTGTCGTGAGGAAAGTTATTAATTTTACTGATTTAAACATGACCCAAGTTGTTATTTTCAAATTCTTTGACAAAAGTTTGTTTGTATAATCTGTCCTTAAATTGTTAAAAAATATTTCAGTTTTATATCTAAATTTAAACCTTGATTATTTCTTTTTTTTTAAACAAAATTTATTACCTGTCCAGTAACAGAAGAATTATTATACTAGAATAAAGAAAACAACTTTCTAAAGGATTACATACACATTTAATTAGCTTGAAATCAGTGTACTAGTATATTGGAAAGTGCAGGAATTATTTACCATTGCAGGTTGAGAAGGGATGCTATATTTTAGGTTTGAAACCAGGCAAGTGAAAGCTGAATTCCAACCTACTTCAACATACTTGTACCCACTGTCTTCAAGATATCAGTGTTTTGAGATGTCAAAGTTCAAGATATCAGTGTTTTGAGATGTCAAAGTTCAAATATAATAGGAACATGTTTATCATATTATGTGATGGCATCCTCAAATCTTATGTTGTATAACAATATGTTTTAGAACTTATCAATCTTTATCCTGTACCTTTCCAAAAAAAACTAAACTCAGCATAATTCTCATTAACTAATTATCAGTGTTTCTTGCGTATGTCAATGTAGGTCATTACTGGTACATGCCTGACCAACTAAAACTCTAAAATTGAAAAATCAGAGTCAAGATTTTCAGAGCAGCAGAAACAGTAGAATTTGTCACGTAAATCTAATGATATGTACCATAGTTGAGAATAAATGTACTCTAAATGTTGCATATATAAAAAATAAAAAAGCAAAAAGTTCTCTTGTTTTCAGAATTTATATTTACATGTGAAAAAAAAAGAAATTTAAAGGAGGTTGATATAGTTGGTGTGATGAGATGTTGGCAGGAACCTAGTAAAATGAAAGGAAGAACTTCCTTAAAATGATACTTGTGGGGGACAGTGTCTCATGGGGGGAGGCATTGTTTCAACTGACTTTACAGAATACAAAAGATCCATTGCAAACCTAATTATTAATTATATGCCAAACACTATGTTTAAAGTTTTCCATTGTTGGATATTTATATTTAAATCCAAGATAACTTACCCAAGAGGATGTGATTTTTTTTTAAACCAATGTAATTTTTCTCAAGTTTAAAGCAGTGTTTCATAAGTTTTAATGAAAAAATCAGAAGGGAGGGGGGTGTGGGTAAATTTTTGACTTCCTTCAAAGTATCTGTGGTTTGCAGTTGCCCATGAATTAAATAATAAATAATTATACAAAGTAACAAGTTGAAATGAGTAAAATATTATGAATGTCTTGCTTGTTTTAGTTTCATTTCAGAATTTTTCAAGTTTGACCAAATCTTGAAAAAGTAAAATCCACAAGGTTTTGCAATTATTTGACATAGCATTACAAAATGCATTATATTTTTGCAACATCATAAAGATGCAAATTTAAGATGCCAAAAAATTTAGTTCACATTTACATTTAACACATTACACATGTTTTATAAAAGAGTAAATAAGTGTAGTTTTGGGAATATTGTTATGTTAAACGCAGCCATTTTGGTTAAAAATCTGGTATTCCTGTCTCCATGGTAACAAATCTTGCATTCCTGTTTCCATAGTAATAGAGAATGGATAGGGAAAATTTTATTTCATATTACTTTCAATCTAAGGAGATAGTTTCAGGAAACTTGAAACATGCCCTGGTAAGTCTACATGCATGTACTTCAAAATTGTCAATTTTACGGAAAGAGGGGGGGGGGGGGGCATTTTGTGCAGGTGTTCACAGTTATCCTATCTAAGAACATATTTACATGTATTAATGCTCTTGGAAATGGGATGTGAATATTTTTACATGACACTTTTCCTAGATATGGACTAATTTTACTGTAAATGACATCAAAACAGGTAGAAAGGAACATTTCTTTTCTATATGAACTTAATGAAATGTGCATGTGTTCCTTGAAAT